ACTGGCTTCACCCATTGTAATGGAAATAAAGACCTCATGATGCAAGTCTGAGATAGATTTATGATTGAATAAACATGAGGAACTGAGATGTTTAAGAACCATTATATGGTTTACCCGAACACAAGAATCAACATTTAAACAAATTAAGTAAATCAGTTTGCACTGTTTGGAATACCCAGCTAGTCTAGTATCATTTATTTCCTCTTCCTTCTCATAATTTTCCAAAAGTGGCCATAAAAGGTAATTTTCCACAACCTCAGCAACCTTTCCACTTAAAGATGATCACATGACACACTTCTTGCTAAGAGAAATAAGTAGGAATCTGCTGGAAAGATTGAAGAAGAAAATGCAACTGGTGAGTTTCCTCTATCTTCAAACAGTACCTTTACAGTATCTGTCAAAATGCAATTTTAAAAAGGCCAAGAAAATCATGGAGATGCCAGGCTTGAAATCAATGAAATGTCAAACCAAAGATAAAAAGAGCCCTATCTCCAAATTTCTTGTTATTTTAAATTTGTTAAGGCTATGATTCCCTGGTTGGTGTTTTTCATAGCAGAATGTGTGTGTGTGTGTGTGTGTGTGTCTGTGTGTGTATTCAATTGCCTCAATGTGATGAGTTTTTCTAGTTTGTATTTCTCCATCATAAAACTTTAACAACTGGGTCTCAAAATAAAATGTTCTGAATTATAATATCTGCCAATTTCTGTAGTACAATGAATTTTACTATAGCAATTTTAAGATACTCTACCAACATGAGGTCACTGAATGAATTTAGTAAGAGTCACACAATTTTGTTTCATGAGTCAATAGTAAGCAGCTCCAGCATAATACTTGATATCACTTATTAACAAACCACATTTTCACAAAACTACTAAATTCATTAATATTACTCCCAAATTCATTGTGTTAGAGAACAGAATTTCTACAGAGAGGAACTTTGAGCTCATAATTACTGATGTCAAGATAAATTGGTTAAATTTATTAAACTGGGAACAGCTATCATACTTCATGTGAAACTTTTAGCAGAAACTTAGAAGGTGTACTCAGTCGCAAGCCAAATGTGCACATTAATTCGATATGTACAATTTCTGAGTGTCTCCTTGGAGGAAAGAATACAATATAATTTGCTACCACAGCAAAGAAAATTTAATACATGTATTTGAAACAATGATGATATAATTGTAAGTAAATTGTATGAAGACACATTTAGATCCTATAGATATCAATGGCTCTACCTGTAGCCCAGGATGAAAACAAATGGTTCTCTAATTTTCTAGTTATTAAATCTAATATCTAGAAACATGTCAACCGTAGTGCTCGATTACATGAAACAAGGTAAAATTTTAAATACATTGCAACATACTTTAGTAGCTAGTATCTGTGAAAAATATTCCCTTTAACTTCCTTAGCAAAATACGTGTGGAGATGGATCCTTACATATTGAAGCAAAGCAAAATCTAACATTTGATCTTTTACTTGTTTCTATACAACAAACTGGTCCTCTAAAAACATGCACAATGAGCTACCCCCTCCCTCATGATGATTTGAACATAGAGTTTTCTTGGGATAAATAAGTACAGAACTTCATTACCAAAGTGACTTTTTGCATATGGAATGGTCTAGTAAGAAAAGATTTACAAATAAAATGTTATCTTTTTTGAAAGAATGGTTATACAATATGTCTTCCAATTTCTTATTGATATTTTCTACTGGGGAAATTCTCAGTATATTTGCAACTTTCACGTTTGCTTCACCCCGAAAATATATAATTTTGCTTGTATATATGCTAAGAGTACAATGTAGAAGCACTTGCTCAAACTGTACAATGTGTGATTGCATTGTATTTGTGCTTAATATTTTAATTTTATTAGTACATGTTTGCAGTACCTGAAGTTTACATTCTCCTTGAGGAATAGGTACCTGTATATGAATGGGATTCTTTTTAAATCACTTTTCCCTTCAATTTCCCTCCATGTCTAAATCCTTTTTCCTCATTTTTCTTCTGTCTCCTGGACCCCTTCCCATTTGCAAGAGATCTATCCCTTTGCTTTTTGCATTTTGTTTTTATTTTACCATATTCAAATGAAAGGTAACACAATAATAAATCTAATGTGTTTTAATATTTGGTATTAAGCCTATATATTGTTAATATCAGGCTCATTATAGATGTGTGGGCAGAATAAAATTTATGAAAGTTTTGATAAAACAAATTTGTATAGTTATAATTTGGAAGGAAATGTTGATCAGTTTAAATAAATCAGTTACCAGAAAGGTATTTGTTATAACAGACTGAAATGAGCTTTTCTATTCAATTTATGAGAAAAATAATTACTTAGCTGATTTTCTTGTGGTGAAAGATCTGAAATTATTTCCATGTTCAACAGGTTCAAAAAATCTTTCATGATACAAATATTTAGATATACTTTACTCAATTATTCATGTATTATTATGTGCCAGTTAAACACCTAAAGGTGTTCTAGGTGATGTCAAATACAAACCCCCAAAATGTCATAGAAGGAACCTGCGCTAGTTAAACTTACATCTGATTTTAAAAGATTATCAGCATGAGGCTACTTATATTACACTGGGATATTTCTAATTACAGAAAACCATTACCAAAGAGGTGATCAAGTATTCATACTTTTTGTACCCAAGCAAGAAAAACTGTTGTAAATAGCCTTTGAACACTGAGATTCTCTTTAAGATATCTGAAGTTTATACCTGAAAGAGGGAAAGTTTGTGTTTTGAGATATTCATTTTTATAACTATCAATTTTAATCCCAGGAACAGGACTCCTCAAGGGTGGTGCGGACATTACAATTAGTGAGCCTCTATATGTAAATCATAATCACTGAAAAGCTTGGTTGCTTAAGGAAATGAGTTAAGAAATATGCAGCTGTAATGGAAGAAATAGTGAGATTATCAGATTGTGACTTTCATCAAATGATGAACCAGAATCATTATATAAAATCAGTCTAATGAAGTTTACACTTGTATTATCAATGTATAATAACCTGTGTCTCAACTTTTAAAAAGGGTTCTGCTTATTAAAATATAAAGAGCAATCTCCAATAGTACAACTAAGTCATAAACATTTCACACAGTGTTTTTGCTTTTTGAAACACTGTAAAAGCACACTCTAAAATTTCTCTTTCCCCTTTTTTTTATGAGTAGAACAATCTAAAATTTGGGAGTGAAAGGAAAAGAGGGAGGGCTTCTAGGAAAGTTATAGCAAATGTAACATTTTCTTAGGTTTGATCTTTCTGGCAGCACTGCAGCCAAACTACTTTACACTTTTTGCTGGTAACAGCAACTGGCTACACATAGCATTTATAATTCACAGTCACCTCTCAAGCTTCATAATTAACAAAACAAAATTAAAATAGAAAAAAAACTGGTTTCACCAAGATAGAATTTAAATGTTGAAAGCAAATGCAAGTTTATATTTTAAATTCTTAAGGGTATCGACCTATCAAAAAGATAGATTTTGAAAAATTGATAACCTTTTGAAATGGTTACTCTTCCTATATAATTTAGGTTTCACAAAAAAGCTTAATTTCATTGATGAAAATAAAACAGTTCAATCACTGCATTCTTAAATTTGTATCAGTAGTATCAAAATAAAATCCAAAATAATAAGTGTTGGTCGAATTTTTTTTTGGATGGAAACAATCTGTGTCCAAAACACAGAAACTTACATGAATCTAGCTTTGAGACTGTATTTCTGAGGCCTTTTCTTTTTTCCTCTTTGGATTGGCAAGTTTAAGTTTGGAACAATGATAATAGCTAGAATAAGCCTGTAAAATCAACCCTAAACTAGCACGTTTTTCAAAGCAATTTAATGTAACAGGCTTATTATAGTAGATATCCTTCACATATTTCAGATAATTTTAATCTTTAGGTTATTGTCCAATAAACAGGATTATAAACCAATGCATGAAAATATCCAATTATTTCTACGTTATTTGGGTGTCTACTTGAAGTCAATGTTATTATACTAAGGGTATTTTATTTTTTAAAGTTTGCACTTCTTTTAATATCTAAACTATTTCAGCTTATGAAAGAGGCAAGAAGAAGGTAAATGTGCTCTTAAACTCGAAATAATTTCTCCCAGACATTGTCAGAGGCACTATTATTTTGTGACTTACAGGCATCATTCACCAATTTGTACGATTTGTAACTACAAGACTTCACTCAAGTTCCAGAGAAATCCTAGTGCAACATCTTCTGAAATTTTGTCTGTACTTTACCCAGCTTTTCTATTTCTTATTCCTGTTTTGTCTTGCGATCTTCCCTTTCACCTCACTTCACAAAAACAGGTACGGTGGCTTGATATTTCTGCCCTCTTCTCCACCCTGGAACGTACATAAATCTAGAAGTCTATTATTTTGCTGTCCGCAAACTGATATGTTTCCAAGGGTGAGAGGGAACGGAATCAGACAGGTGAAACTTCATCCCTAGGGAAAACTTAACAGCCGCTTCCATTTCCAGCCTTAAAGACCTGTCCTGGGTTGCAAGCGTTTGCACACGTAGGCCTGACTACCAAACATCAGATTCATTCCAAATGAAACTTACACACGCGCAGGCAGTAGGAGGGGAGGTGGAGAAATAGGAAGTGGCAGCAAAAACCACAGACTTTTCATTCCTACCGCTATACGGATTTTCAACTCCTGCAGCTGTGTTCCGGTCAAACAAGATTTTACATCTATCCCTGTGACATTTTGTGCAGCGCTGCTACAAAGAGAGGAGAAACTTCTCACGTTTCTTAACTCCGAGCGGCGGACCACACCCTGACAAGGCGTCTTCGCCGAATAGTTCATCGTTCTCTCCATCTAAGGGCTACCCCAATATCTCTTTGGAATGAATTTGGCCATTCTTGCGTGTTTAATTTTTACAAGTTAGCATCTCATAATAAAATCGATATCCGGGTGCCTTTTTAAAGCAACAACATCCACTTGGCCCAGAAGGCAAACTTGAGTTTCTGCTTTTCCCCGCGAGCAGCACCCTCCTCCCTCGGACGCGCCCCTCGCGATTCCCCGCCCTCCCCTTGCTTGGGGGCGTAAAGCCATTCCCACGCGGCTGCTCCGCGCCTGGGCGCCACACAACTTTCCTCAACCCTGTGCCAACTTCCAGGGCACCGCCTTTGCCAACACCTCAGCAGGGTACCTTTTACAACCCCCACAGTAAAAAGCAAGACACCGGGGTCCTACCAGCGCGACTCTTGATGACGTCGGTGAATCCGTCTCCAGCCGCATCGTCCCCGGTCTCCTCCAGACCCCACGGTTGAGCCATAGCCTCGCGTTAGGTGCCCAGCTGCCCCACGTCCCAAACTTGGGCATGCAGGTGGGTTCGCCCGGTCTGCTTGATGCTCTCCAAAGCAGGTAACTAGCTGGGGCTCTCGTGTCTCCGAGGGCGGATTTTCTCCTCTCCAGGTCCTCACCCACGGAGGTAGAGACGCGGGGCGGCGGGAAGGGCGGGGTGAGGTGGAAAACACAAACACTGACACCTGGGGGTGGGTTGATTGCAGGAGGGCGCCGTCAAAATGCCCAGCCCATCTTTAGAGTCTAGGAAACAGGTGCTGCTCCCATCTCCTTGCGCTAAAATAGAGCGGGCGAGGCCTGGCAGGTGAAAGCTGAAGAGGAAACTGGTGGTCAGTAAATCCACAAGCAAGTTGGAGACTCGTTTTCCACGCTGCGCAGAATCGATGCAAAAACAGGAGCAATTAGGGAGCCGCTTGCCAAAAGCAGCACATGAGGTCATGAATGATTTAGCTTTGCCACTTATAAGATGACTACACTGGGGAGAAGGGTTACTCACGCTAGCTATGTGGGTGACTTACATGTGTGCACCCCACTTTTGTACCTGAAGTGAATACCTTGACCCGTTCTAGGTAATATCAGCTGAGGACAATTAATTATTTTTTAGGAAATTTCACCAAAGCTACTCTTGTTCTGTGTGTACATTCACTCTGCCTCCTCCATCCCTTCCTCCCACCACTGAGTCTAGAATTAGATTGGACTATAAACAGCTCAGATGACTTTATTTTCTAAAAATTTCAGAAGTGACTTTCATTTGGTTAGTATCCTAATCCCCCCATAAGAGTTACCCCGCAATTCTTCCTGCAGCAGCCCACTAACACTAATTCTCATCCATCCTCTGCTGAAGAAAAATTAACTTTACAAGAGAAACTTGGCAAACAACCTAGCAATAGGTGAGGATTTTCTCGTCTTCCTTTTAAATTTAAGTTGATTCTTGACCTTTCTAAAACCCTGGTTCTCAAATATGGTTAGATCTTGGAATTATCTGGGATCGTTGACAAAGTCAGTGCCTGGTTTCCATCCCCAGAAAGGAAGATGGATCCTTTCTAGGCTCTCATCTGAACCTTGTCATGAGCTCACAGGTGTTTACAATTGGCAGGTTTTTTTTTTTTTATTCCAAACTTGATGTTTTTCGCTTTGTGGTAAAGGGGCCCCCTGCCTTTAGCAAGATAATATTATCAATAATTCTCTTCCATTCTCCCTATAATGCTTTAGAATAAAAACATATGTTTTGGAATGTTGATGGAGCTCAGTGGTATAGCACTGCCTAGCGTCTGCAAGTCCCTGGGCTCCATCCACAGCACCTCCAAAAAATTGAAAAGAAAAACAAATTTGGCAATTCTGTCTTCCGCTGCCAAATTGGCAGTGGATAGTTTATTTTGACAAAACACATATTTTGACATAGTGAAGCCGAATTGCAGAATTCTCTTCGTTTAAACCCAGTGTGACTTTCAAATTGGATTCTCAACTAGGATAACTCAAAACTTGCTTCATCCTGAGAAGCTATGCATACTGAAAAATCTGTTGTTTATAGTCAGACCTTTTAGCTTTCCCAAGTACCCAACTTTTAGATATATCAGTTCTAACAGTTTCAGAAAGTAGTAAATATTTGGTTACAGCACAGTTCCTGTTTAAAAGAGTAAAAGCATGAGTTTTCTGAAATTCAGAAAAATCACATTGTGAAATACTACATTCTATATTATCAAGCTACTCTAACTGCAAATGACTTCAAAGAGAAAATTGCTTTTTCAGCTACATAAGTAGAAATTTATATAAATCCAAAGATGTTATGATAAAGTGAAAAAGGTTAATAAACTAAGATGAAAACATTTGAAACATCTGTTACGAAGGTTTAGTATTTGTATCTTAACAAATGTCTAAAAATTGTTTTGAAAATTCAAACAAAATGAGAAAATGTGAATATATAAACTGAATAGAAAATCCACAAAGAGAATATAAAAGTAACCGATAAAGACATAAAAAGATGGTGAACTTTCTCATAATCTAAAAAGGCAAAGAGTTAATATTTCCTGTCTGTCAGCTGAAAGGAAAAACAAGATGATATTTAGTGCTGGAAAGATTATGGCAAAAAATGTTTATATTCCATACTGATGAAGTATCGGTATATTTTAAGAAAGTATCTTGATAATAGCTACTAAATGAAACAAAATCTTTTCCCTATCACTCTCCTTTATAATGTATATAAATAAAATCATTAGTATATAACCCTACTCTAAGATGTATTGAAGATTTATTTAAGTAGGCACACACACTGAAAACAATCTCAATGTCTTTTAACTGTGAACTAATCAATTAAATTATATTATGTAAAAAGGAATATCTAGAAGCTACTAGAAAGATATTTGTATCATTTAAAAAATATTATCAAGCCTAAATGAGAATGGTAGAACTAAGTTGGATGTTTTGTGGCAAGAATGGGATCATTTTAACACTTGAAACCACCAATCACTGTGATTCCTAACATTAAAAATGTAACAGACAAAAATATCACATATTCTTTATCCATTCATGGGTTAATGGGCATTTGGGCTGTTTCCAAGACTGAGCTATTATAAATTATCCTGCTGTAAACATGGCTGTGCATATGTTGCTGTGGTATGATGCTTTTAATTCTTTCAGGAACACATCAAGAAGGGAAATCACTGGGTCACATGGAAACTCTAGTTTTAGATTTTTGAGGAATTGCCCACAGTGTTTGCATAGTCTGCACTCTTACCAGCAGTAGAGAAAAGTTTCTTTTGCCCCACAGCCCAACAGCATTTGTTATTGGTTGATTTCTTGATAACAGCCATTCTTTCTGGAGCGAAATGAAATCTCAGTGTTATTTTAATTTGCATCTCTAGAATGGCCAGTGATATTCAACATTTATTATTATTATTATTATTATTATTATTATTATTATTAATGTTTGTACTTCATCTGAGAAGTGTCTATTCATTTCAGATGCCCAATTTTAGATTGGGTCTTTAAATTTGGGGGGTCTGATTATTTGAGTTCTTTATATATTCTAGATGTTAGCCATTCATCTGAGGAACAGCTGGCATAAAGAATAAACTTGAGGTATTTATAATTAAACGAATGTACTTTCAGAAAATACTCACATAAAATAAATTGGACACATATGTTTCACTATTGAAGCTTTTTAATATTTAGATATTTAATTCACTTGGATTTTAATTTAGTTCATGGTGAAAGATAAGGGTATAGTTTTAATCTTTGGCAGGTTGAGATCCAGTTTTTCCAACACCATTAATTAAAGAGGCTATCTTTCCTCCACTGGGGATGGTCAGCTCCTTTGTCAAAGAAGAGATAGCTGAGTGCATCTGGAATTGCTTTTGTTTCTTCAAGTCTGTTCCACTGATCCTCAGATCTATTTTTTTGCCAGTACCGTGCAGAAACACTATACTTGCTGGAAGATAGGTTAGCCATAACTCTTGAAGACATTGGCATAGGCAAAGATTTTATGAACAAATCCTCAGTCGCACGGGAAATAGCAGAAAGAATCAACAAGTGGGATCTTATCTTATTAAAAAGCTTCTGCACTGCAAAAGAAACCATCAACAGAACTAAGACACAACCTACAATGTGGGAAAAAATTTATACCAGCTGCTCCTCCAACAAAGGCCTATTATCTAGAATATATAAAAGAACTCAAAAAAATAAGCCCCCCCCAAATTAAGGACCGGATTCAAAAATGGGCATCTGAAATGAACAGGCATTTCTCAGACAAAGAAGTAAAAGCAGCAAGTAAATACATGAAAAAATGTTCCACATCACTGGTCATTCGAGAGATGCAGATGAAAACAACACTTAGATTCCATCTCACCCCACAAAGAATGGCTGCTATCAAGAAATCAACCAATAACAAATGTTGGTGGGGTTGTGGGGAGAAAGGAACCCTTCCCCATTGTTGGTTGGAGTGCAGACTGGTGCAACCACTATGGAAATCAATATGGAGATACCTCAAAAAGCTGGGACTAGAGGTTCCATTTGACCCAGCCATCCCTCTACTGGGTATATTTCCAAAAGAATTAGAATCATACCACAGTGATATACGTGCACCTATGTTTACAGTGGCACGATTTGTAATAGCTAAAACTTGGAAACAGCCCATTTGCCCATCAGTTGGAAACTGGATGAAGAAGATGTGGTTTTTCTATGAAATGGAATACTACTCAGCCATAAAGAATGAGAAATTAGAGTCATTCATAGGAAAATGGATACATATTGAGGATATACTCCTAAGTGAAATAAATAATTCACACGTATAAATACCGAATAGTTTTTCTGGTGTGAAAAACTGTAATTGTACATAAGATCCTAATGATATAATTGACAATGTGAAATAAGAAGAAAAGGGCTAAATGTGTAGGGGAAGTGGGAAGAGTAAGGGAAAAGTAATAAGGAAAAAAATAGGAGAAAATGAAAAAATGGAAATAAAATGTTTATAAATGGGGAGGGAAGGAGGGGATGAAGGGAGGGCAGGGACAAGGGGAAAAAATGAGAACCAAGACCTGTCATGTAAAGGTACAAGATCCCAATGATGGATGTAACTGTACTGTACACCTAAAATGTACCAATAAACTCAATGAGGAAAAATAAATAAATAAATATTGCATTATTTCTCTGGTGTGAGAAACCAAAACTGTAGATAAGGACCAAAATGTATAATACTTATAGGGAAGTGGGAAGAAAATGTTCAAATGGGAAGCAGAGCAAGAGAGAGGAGAGGGGAGAAGAAGGAAGGAAAAAGAAAATGAGTAGAAAAGAATAGAAAAAAGCTATTGCAAATAAGGAGCGGAAGAGGGTTTGAAGGGGGGAAGGGATGGAGAAAAAAGAATCAAGATAAACTATGTACAGGTACAAATTCTATATGATTAATGTGATCACCATGTACATCTAAAATATACCAATAATTAAAGTTAACCTGATTTTTAAAAATTAAAAAAGCATAATGAATACAAATAAATGAAAAAGTGATGGAAAAAGTAAGTGCTAAATTATATATGTGTATATTTTTTAAAAGTACTACTGTTCAGAAT